AAGAATATACTGGAGGAGCTGGAGAGAAGGCTTGGCAGTTAAGAGCACTGGCTGCTCTTCCAGAGTCCCTGGGCTCAATTCCTAGCATCCACTTGGCAGCTCACAACATTCAATAATTCCAATTTGAGGATATCTAATACCCTTTTCTGGTCTCCATGGGTACCAGGCATACACACGCTGCACAGATTTACATGTAGGCTAAACATTCATACACATAAAATAAAATGTAAGAAATAATATACTGGAAACATCTACTTAAGCTCCAGCAGCTCTTAAGTCTATTGTGGATAAAATAGAAAACCAGATTGTGGTCACTCACTGAAACTGGTGCTACTGAGACCTGTCTCTCATCCCTTACAGTATGGGTACTGGGCAGCAGAAAAAGATTCCCAGCAGAAGGAAATACTACAGATAATTAGGACCACCCTATCATTCCCACTCTTCTGTATGACCATACATGGTAACTCAGATGAGTCTGTCAACTGAACCATTACCACAGTATTGTTTTTATCCCACTGTATGTACATTGCTCAATTATTTGTTACTTTTTTTTTTTACTTATCTTGTAATAATAATATTAACCCTAAGACATTTAGCATTATCCACATCAGTGATGTGTAAATGGTACTAGAGTTGGGTGACTGCTCTGTATTCCTGGACACCTTGACAAAGTGTGAAGATTTAAGCTGTTATCCTTCAAAACATTCAGGACATTGTCCCACGCACAAGTATACTGGGATTCCCAAGGGTACCAGTTGAGTTATCTTTACTAGTTATTATTCAAATTATTCAACTAGCCATCTGAATATAACATCTCAGTTTGAGAGAAGCTCAGCAGTCTTGGAGAGTAAATCATGGCTTTGGGAATTTGGTTAGTTGTATAGCTTCCATGCAGGGAAGTAAGTGCATATTAGAACTCAAGTTCATAGCAAAGTGTCTAAGTCCAAAGATCACTAAGTTTATTTGAGGTACTTTAAGTCAAGAATTTGACTTATAGATCCAAAGATAAATTTCTGGATAGAAAATTATTAGAGAAAATCCCCTAGATTCAGAAAACCAAATGATTCCTAAAACTTCTGATATTTCAGTCAATGTATAAATTATCTGACACTCCTCCTCCCAAACAATGGATTGCTGACACTGTTTCTAATCATACCATAATCTACATTCCTATTGTAGAATTAAGTGTTTCATTTCTCCTTCTCACAGATAGGTGAGCCCAGATACTGCCAACAAGCAGAAATGTGTACTCAGGATCACACACTTCGAAATAATTAAGCAAGGTTCATGGGGTATTTGCTTCCACAGGGCACACCAAGGGCTCCATAGCCTTCCTGAAACATCCTCCATATTGTAGCACCCATGCTGATAAATCTGAGCCAAGCAAATTCTGAGCTTACCACCAGATAGAAAACTTATGAACGCACGAAACTGGAAGTATCAGACATTGGTTCTGATAACAATCAGACTTACTGTCAGCTACCATTTGAACTCACGTATTATATTTAATTGACTATTAACAAAAAAGCACAGGAATTGCATATAACACCATCCTTTGGTATATATGAACAGATCTTAACCTGAAGTAGAAATTATGTTTATCTGAGATTTGAAATAGTAGGAAAAGCAGAGTAAAAAAGATGAGCTACATTATACTGTAATGACAAGCTGCAACCCTCAACCACCATTTGCACTAAAATCTTCCTGCACAGAACCATTTGTATAGTCTATGCTACCATAATCAAATCACACAAATAGACCAAGACTTGATTTGACAAATAGTACTACTGATGATATTTGTGATCTGGGGTAGCAGAAATATTGTTCTGGTAAATCGCTCTATCAAAAAAGACGCTATAGTGGTTGTGGCGCACGCCTTTTAATCCCAGCACTTGGGAGGCAGAGGAAGGCGAATCTCTGGGAGTTCGAGGACAGCCTGGTCTACAAGAGTTCGTTCTGGGACAAGCACCAAGGCTATAGAGAAACCTTGTCTCAAAAACCTTTGTCTCAAAAAACAAAAACAAAATATATTACATCTGAAGACTATATCTGAGGTGAAAGCAGGCAAATTAGTATAAGAGCGGTATAGAAACTCCAACAGAGATGGAAAGGCCCTACTCAGGGCAGATACTTAAGAACTTTGTTTCACAAAGCAGTGATAGGTCCAGAGCTAAAGGTAACTGCAGAGCTCTGGGTCAGCCAACGCTTCCTACATGTGAACATTAACTCCTATCACCCCATGCTCCTGTTTCAAAGGTAGGTCTTGGGAGAGGGAAGCTCGGTAGGAGAGGTGTGCTGAGCATGTGAGGTTGTGCTGGGGCCTGAGAATTTTTGTATGCTTAGGAAGTTGCCAAGTTATATTCTCTTGGTTCTCTGATCACATGTTGAACAGCTAAATTCTAAACTATGACACAATTATGCTATTTTCTAGAACACAAAAGAGCAACAAAAAATCAGTTTACAATGTCTTTATACATAATACTGACACATGAAGATCAACACCAGGAAGGTGATATCACACACTATAAACACTGTATTAATAAAGTCAAATACACTTAACATGTTGATTCCTCCTGACCCGACTCTAAGTGGTGCCCCTTTCCATCCTCTAGATGTTGTTCTTATTCTCCTGAGGGGTAAGTGAGTATCTGAGTATTTTCAACTACCAACATTGTAGAAAAATGATCCAACCTGGCCATAAAATACAGTAAATAACTCAAATTTTCTAATATAGATGATTTCAAAATAAAATGGGAAATTTGAGCAAATGCCTCCTGTCCTCTATAGTAACAGGAGACACCTTACAAGAACATATTTATGAAATTCTCAAGTTAGGCATGATTTTCAGTCATCAGTTTCATTTGATAAACTGATAGAGAGTTACATTTACTGCACTTATTAGAGTGGTTAGCTTGAATTTCTCCATTGTTTCAAATAAACTCAATCCCTTCGGGGAAAGTTTTGAGGTTGGCTGTATACAAGTTCAAGAGATTCTACTTCAAGTGCTAGAAGAAAGCAGGAAACCTGGGTCTGGGTCTTCTAGGTTTGCCTCTCCCAAGAGGTAACATCTGATTTGTGACCTGCTTAAGGGTTAGTAACTAGACTCCTAGTATTTTGATGTCATGAGTGGGAGCTGGATGGATGGAGTCCCTTCCCTTTTTGGCTGTGATTATCAATCATAATGTAGCCTAATAACTTTCAGAACTCATGCATAACCCTAACAGCTTGTCCACTCTGGTGAGACTACATCCTTTGGCCAGAAGAAAAGGGAAAAAACCTGACGTGTCCACACCCACAACCATCTACGGAGTTTCACCTGGCTGAAGTGGAGGTGCAGAAAATGCAGTCCCTGCAACATCATCCAGGCCTTTGCTATTGTTTGAGGTTTTTGTTGAATACTTCTTTTATTGCTATACCTAATTAGGACTACTTCTAGAAGTTTTAAAACACTTTTACCATCAGGATTATTTTTTCTGGTAAGGTCAGTAAACCCCTTGTAGCCATTCAAATGTAGAGTCTCCAGTGTGGCTCAGGCTGACATTTTGACTCACTTGAATCTCCTGGTTGTGAGCTGTGTGCCTAGATAGGCATTTTAATGATTTGGGGGGCTTACTTTCCTAGTTAATACTGATTATTGTGTGCATCTGAGCACTAATCATCTTCAATTCAATACTCCTGTAATATGAACAAAACACACATTACAGTTACCAAGCTTCTGGTATTTTCTGTTATCTTCTATGGTATAAATTCAACAACAGTAATTTCTGCCAGCTAGCCAAAATTCTAATCTTTTATATAAAAATTTACCTTTTGTAGTAAACCATTTCCTTTGTTGGGTTTGAGTTGTCAGGTATAATTTCCTTTCTGCCTTAGTTTCTTTGGCATCTTTCTTAGAGGGTTGACTGACAATGTATTTTGTAAGTCTTCATTAATCTACTAATGTCTTTCAGCTATTTTGAATTCTTTCCAACCTGTATATTCTGTATATTCTCTTGTTCCCTTTCAAATTTCTTGAAGTGTAGCTGACATTGTAAGGGTGAAATCCTTTTATAATGATTTTTTAATTAAAAATTTATCTGTTGGGCCAGGCAGTGGTGGTGCACACCGTTAATCCCAGCACTCAGTTCGAGGACAGTCTGGTCTACAAGAGTTAGTTCCAGGACAGGCTCCAAAGCTACAAAGAAACCCTGTCTCAAAAAATAAAAGAAAAACAAACAAACAAAAAATTATCTTGGTTAATTATTTAAAATCAAATTTAGTAGGTTTGCAGCTATTCTTTATCTTGCTTCCAGGATTCCTATTACATGTTGGTTTCTCTGATATTAGCCCAGACTGCAGTATGTTGCTCAGCTGTAAGAACATACAAGACCCTTTCCTTCAAGAACACTTATTATTTGAGTTTTTACTTACTTTTAAAATTTAGTTTACTAATGATACTAGTTTTCAAATGTGTTATATTTTCTTCCTTTCAGAAATGGCACAGGAGTATATTTTCCAGTGTAAGAGGTGGCGGACGTGACATAGCAGTTCAAGACATGCTAGGAAATGAAGAAGTCTCTTCATGTAGTGACTGAAAGTGTGGATGATGGTAGGACTGCAGTGCTCTTCTAGATCAGACAATATTTATAAAAGTATAAATGTCATCTTTAATGAAACAAATACAACAGAAAGGAGAAAACTGAGCATGTGGAGATAGCTACACCTGCTTTCTGAATGACAACACATTTTTTTTTAATCATATAGACTTTAAATTTTTGGCTACATGTTAGAGATGCTTTGAAAGAGCAGAGCTACATCAACTAAAGGAGAACCCATAAATATAATCAGTTCTGCACTAGCACAAGTAAACAACAATAATCACTTTCTCTCCTCTCTACTCAAATTCTAACCTTCCTTTACAAGTCTGCAAATAAACGTGTAATTACCAACAAGGTACATACAGGACAAAGACAAGAAAAAGTGCTTGAAGTCTAGTTATTATGATAGGTTATTCTAATATATATAATTATCAATAGTTTATTATAAAAACCCTACACATACAATTATTTCATCAAGTCTCTTAAAAATTCATAATGAAATGTGTAGAAAGAGACATTTCAAAGTCATAGCAGTTACTACGGTTACAGTATTTAATTATTTGTACAATAGGTCTGTTGGTCCATTTCAATTAAATTTGTTCCCACAAACATCACATTTCTTTCTGAATTTCACTTAGAGCACAAGCAAGTTGCTTAATTTTTCCTTCCATTATTTTTTTGTTCTTGCATGTTTCTTCCAGAAGTCCTCGCATTTCTTCTTCAACTTGCTGAACCTAAACCAATGTATACATTTTACATTTTAATTTTCTAAAAAAAAAATTAAGTGCATTTTGAAAGTCAATGATGTATTTTATGTACTCTATATAATTTGTGATTGATTAAATGAAGTTAGCAAGATGCAATTTTTTTTTCAAATGATAGAACTGAAAACTATATAAAGTACTTTTAAGTGTATTACCTATTTAGTCTGAAGATTCCTCTGAAAAAAAATAAAACAATGTGTTTACCTGCATTTTGAGCTTAGAAAATGTGAAATCCCTGTTTTATAGAGAACAGAAACCCAGTGTTCTGATTCCAGCATCCCACTGCTCTGAGCAGCCTGCCAATGCTGAGCTCAGCGTAAAACATTTACCACTTAAAGACCTCGAACACACACAACTTCCCTCCCAAAGCAATCCCTCTTCAATTCGGTCCCTCTACCATTTCTAAAAGTCTGTCTTTCACCTCTGAAATATAATTTTACCATCCATTCATAGTCCACATTCCCTAAGATGCTTGTATAACATACTACAGACTTCTGCTTGATTCTTCTATGTAGCTCACCATGTCTGACACAGCTATGAACACTTTCTTCTATCAATTCATTACTCACCTTAATACAGATCTTCTAATTTCATTTCCTTTAGAAAATAACTTTTCCTAATTTATTTTTTAGATTTATTTTTATTATTTTATGTGCATGTGTGTTTTGCCTGCATACATATACATTTACCACAATCATGCTTAGTGCTAACGGAGGTAAGAAAAGGGCATTGATTCCTTGGGACCAGAGTTACAGTTGATTGTGAGCCACCATGTGGGTGCTGGGGACCAAGCTTGGGTGCTCTCCTAGAGCCTAGTGCTCTCAATTTTAGAGCCAACTCTCCAGTTCCAACGTTTCCTAATTTAAATTGTCACCTTGGTCTGTGACGCCTCAGGATCTATATACTTCCTGCGTCTGATTATTTTAAGCTCTGATTCTATTTTTCTAGTTTTTTTTTAAAATTTAAAGCAATTTTGTTGCTTTAGTACACAAGACAAATTTACGCCATTAAGAACAGACTGTGGATGACTCTTAATTCCAGCTGGATGGAAGGACCCACTTAATCTTATAATAAGGAGTCAATCGGTGAATCCGACTCTATCAGAATCAGGTAGAATTTAATATCCATGTCCTTTCTGTTCATTTCAGAGGCTTGGGAACAGGAACTGCGTTTTTAGTTACATGGTAGAGATCTTCAGGATGATCAGGAGCAAAGCCTTTGGATTTAAGTTACATCATGAAATAAACCATGCAGCACCAGGAAGTCCCTCAGGAACATCCTGAAAAGAGAAGCTTGTAACTTCTAACACAATACAAACTTAACTGTGTAATAACCTCAGGAAGCAGGAACAGGTTATTAACTGTGTAATAACCAGAGTTTGTCTGTCAAAAACCAACATAAGAAAGCATTTCTTGCTTTTGTCTGCGAGGTCCTTGGAACCCTGCAGGAGACCCTGCTCCCGTGCTGAGGGGAACTGGAGAGGTGAGTAAGGGACTACACGGCCAGATATCCTGAAGTGCCACTCTCTAGGGCAGTCCCGAGGAACTGAATCCACGCCACCTCCAATTCCCTAAGCTTTTCTGGCCATCCAGCGGGGAGTTCCTGCTGCTTTCTTTACCCCATTCCACCCTGCAGCAAACCCGCCTTTTCATCAGAAAGGTCCTTGAAACCCACAACACAGCCTGTTTCAGGGCTGAGGGGATCTGAGAGCCTGCAGCAGTGCTGAGGGGACCTACATGAGGGCAGACCCAAAAAACAAAAACAAAAAACAAAACAAAAATAAACAAAAAAACTCCCCAGTACTCAGTCAGCCACAGCAAGGATTGGACCAAGACACTAAGACTCTGCTGACCCCATTTGAAGGAAGAGATGGTTGGTGCCAATGCAAGAATGCCTCCAACATTCTGAAAAGCAACATGATAACACCAGAATCCAGCGAACAGGAAGAGTTGAACATCCTCACCCAAAAGAAGTAGAAGAAATCAACTTTAAACATAACCTTATGAAAATGATGCAGACCTTTAAATAGGAAGTGAAAAACTCCCTTAAAGAAATGGAAGAGAAAACAAACAAAAAGTTAGAAGAAATTAATAAATCCCTCAAAGATATCCAAGAAAACCAAGAAAAAGCAATCAAACAGGTAAAGGAAACAGTTCAACACTTGAAGACCGAAATGGAGATAATAAAGAAAACACAAACGGAGGGATAGCAAGATATTGAAAATCTAGGTAAACGAACATCAACTACAGAGGCAAGTATAACAAACAGAATACAAGAGAGAAGAAAGAATATCAGGCGCTGAAGATACTATTGAGTAAATAGACTCATTGTTTAAAAAAAGCAACAAACTCAACAAATTTTTAACACAAAATATCCAGGAAATCTGGGACACCATAAAAAGACCAAACCTAAGAATAATAGGGGTAGAAGGAGAAAACCCTAGCTCAATGGCCCAGAAAAATAGAATCAACAAAATTATAGAAGAAAACTTTCTCAACCTAAAGAAGGATATCGCTATGAAGGCACAAGAAGCTTACAGAACACCAAATAGACTGGACAAAAAAAAACAGAAAAAAAAAAACAAAACACCCTCTTGCACGTCATATACTAATCAAAACAAAAAACATACAGAATTAAAGAAAGAATTTCAAGAGCTGCAAAGGAAAAAGATCAAATAACATATAAAGGTAAACCTATCAGAATTACACCTGACTTCTCAATGGAAACCATGAAAGCCAGAAGGTCCTGGATAGATGTGTTGCAGACACTAAGAGACCATGGTTGCAAGCCCTGACTACTATACTCAGCAAGGTTTCTTTTACCATCAATGCAGAAAACAAGATATCCAATGACAAAAACAGATTTAAACAATATGTATCCACAAACACAGTCTTAAAGAAAGAACTAGAAGGAAAACCTCAACCCAAGGAAGCCAGCAACATCCACAATAGCACAGACATCTGTTAATCCTCCCCCAACACAACTCAAAGAAGGGAAACACACAAACACTACCACTAAAAAATAACTGGAGCTAATAACCACTGCTCATTAATATCACTTAATATCAATGGACTCAATTCACCTATAAAAAGACACAGGTTAAGAGAATGGATATGAAAACAGAATCCAGCATTTTGCTGTTTACAAGAAACACACCTCAACCTCAAAGACAGACACTACCTCAGAGTAAAGGGCTGGGAAAAGGGTTTTCAAGCAAATGGACCTAAGAAACAAGCAGGTGTGGCTATCCTAATAATTAACAAAATTAATTTCAAACTAAAATCAATCATAAAAGATGGAGAAGGATACTTTATACTCATAATAGGAACAATTCATCAAGATGAAGTCTCAATCCTAAATATCTATGCCCCTAATATAAAAGCACTCACATATGTAAAAGAGACATTATTAAAACTCAAATCACACATCAAACCCCACACACTAATAGTGGGAGATTTCAACACTCCTCTATCACCAATGGACAGGTCAACCAGACAGAAACTTAACAGAGAAATAAGAGAACTAACAGATGTAATGAATCAAATGGACTTAACAGACATCTATAAAATATTCAACCCAAATAGGAAAGAATATACCTTCTTCTCAGCATCTCATGGAACCTTCTCAAAAATTGACCACATACTCGGTAACAAAGCAAACATCCACAGGCACAAAAACAAAATTTAGTAACCATCTGTGTCTTATCGGATCACCATGGAGTAAAGTTATAATTTAACAACAATATTATCCACAGAAAGCCTATAAACTCATGGAAACTGAACAATAAACTACTGAACCAGCCCTGGGTCAAGGAAGAAATAAAGAAAGAAATTAAAGTCTTCCTTGAATTCAACGGAAATGAAGACACAACTTACCCAAACCTATGGGACAATACGAAAGCAGTACTAAGAGGAAAGTTCATAGCACTAAGTGCCCAAGTAAAGAAAACAGAGAAAGCTCACATTAGTGACTTAACAGCACATCTGAAAGCTCTAGAATAAAAAGAAGCAGACTCACACAGTAGGAGTAGAAGACTGAAATAATCAAATTGAGGGCTGAAATCAACAAAATAGAAATACAGAAAACAGTCCAAGGAATCAATGAAACAAAGAGCTGGCTCTTTTGGAAAATCAACAAGATTGACAAACCCCCATCCAAATTAATCAAAAGGCAGAGAGAGAACACTAGAATTAACAAGATGAGAAATGAAAAGGGGACATAACAAAAGACACTAAGGAAATTCAGAGAATCATTTGTTTTTATTACAAAAGCCTGTACTCCACAAAATTGGAAAATGTAAAAGAAATGGACAATTTTTTAGATAAATATCATATAACAAAATTAAATCAAGACCAGGTAATCAATTTAAATAGACCTATAAGTCGCAAGAAAATAGAAGCTGTCATCAAAAACCTTCCAACAAAAAAAGTCCAGGGCCAGATGGTTTTAGAGAAGAATCCTACCAGAACTTCCAAGAAGAGCTAATAGCTAATACCTATACTCCTTAATGTGTTCCATATAATAGAAACAAAAGAGTCATTGCCAAACTCTTTTTATGAAGCTACAGTGACCCTGATACCAAAACCACACAAAGACTCAACCAAGAAAGAGAATTATAGACCATGAACAACGATGCAAAAATTCTCAATTAAGGACTGGCAAACCGAATCCACGAACACATCAAAAAGAAAAAAAAATCATCCATCTTGATCATGTAGGCTATCAATGTAATCCATCATATAAATAAATTGAAAGAAAAAAACCATATGATCATTTCATTAGATGCCAAAAAAAAGCATTTGGCAAAATTCAACACCCCTTTATGATAGAGGTCTTGGAGAGATTGGGGAGATAAGGATCATAACTAAATATAATTAAAAGCAATATACAGCAAGCTGACAGCTAACATCAAATTAAATGGAGAGAAACTCAAAGTGATTCCACTAAAATCAGGAAGAAGACAAGGCTGTCCACTCTCTCTATATCTCTTCAACATAGTGCTTGAAGTTTTAGCAATAGCAATAAGACAACATAAAAAGATCAATCTGATTCAAATTGGAAAGAAAAAAGACAAACTTTCATTATTTGCAGATGATATGATAGTGTACATAAGTGACCCCAAAAACTGTACCAGAGAATGCCTATAGCTGATAAACACCTTCAGTGATGTGACAGAATACAAGAGCAACTCAAAAAAATTAGTACTCTTCTACACACAAAGGATGAAGAAGCAGAGAGGAAAATCAGAGAAACATCACCTTTCCCGATAGCCACAACAAACAGCATAAAGTATCTTGGGGTAACACTAACTAAGGAAGTGAAAGACCCATTTGTTTTTGAAGAAAGAAATTGAAGAAGATACCAGAAAATGAAAAGATCTCCCATGTTCTTGGATAGGAAGGATCAACATAGTAAAAATGGCAATCCTACCAAAAGGAATCTACACATTCAATGCAATCTCCATCAAAATTCTAACAAAATTCTTCATAGACCTTGAGAGAACAATAATCAACTTTATAAGGAAAAACAAAAAACCCAAGATTTCTAAAACAATCCTATACAATAAAGGAACTTCCAGAGGCATTACCATCCCTGACATCAAACTCTACTACATAGCCACAGTAATGAAAACAGCCTGATATTGGCATAAAAACAGAGACGTTGACCAATGGAATCGAATCGAAGACCCAGATATTAATCCACAAACCTATGAACACCTGATTTTTGAGAAAGAAGCTAAAACTACACAATGGAAGAAAGTATCTTTAACAAATGGTGCTGGCATAATTGGATGTCAACCTGTAGAAGAATGAAAATAGATCCATTATCTATCACCATGCACAAAACTCCCAAATGGATTAAAGATCTCAAAATAAATCTGACCACACTGAACCTGATAGCAGAGAAAGTGGGAAGTAGCCTGCAATACTTGGGCACAGGAGACCACTTCCTATGTATAACCCCAGTAGCACAGACAATAAGAGCCACAATGAATAAATTGGACCTCCTAAAACTGAGAAGCTTCTGTAAAGCAAAGGACAGAGTCATTAAGACAAAAAGGCAACCCACTGAATGGGAGATCTTCACCAACCCCACATCAGACAAAGGTCTGATCTCCAAAATATACAAAGAACTCAAGAAACTAGACATTAAAATTCTAAATAACTCAATTAAAAAACGGGGTACTGAACTGAACAGGGAATTGTCAACGGAAGAATTTCAAATGGCAGGGCTGAAGAGATGGCTCAGTGGTCAAGAACACTGGCTGCTCTATCAGAGGTTCTGAGTTCGGTTCCCAGCACCCACATGTTGGCTCATAACCATCTGTAATGAGATCTGGCGCCCTCTTCTGGCCTGTAGGTGGAACACTGTACACATAATAAATAAATCTTTTTTTTAAAAAAAGACTTCAGTTTAAAAAAAAAAAAAAGGATTTCAAATGGCCAAAAGATACTTAAGGACATGTTCAACTTCCTTAGCCATCAGGGAAATGCAAATCAAAACAACTCTGAGATACCATCTTACACCTGTCAGAATGGCTAAAATCAAAAACACCAATGATAACCTAAGCCGGAGAGGATGTGGAGAAAGGGGAACACTCACCCACTGCTGGTGGAAATGCAAACTCGTAAAACCACTTTGGTAATCAGTGTGGCCGTTTCTCAGAAAATTGGGAATCAACCTCAGAATCTAGCAATATCACTCTTGGGAATACAGCCAAGAGATGCCCAATCATACTACAAAAGCATTTGTTCAACTATGTTCATACCAGCATTATTTGTAATAGCCAGAACCTGGAAACAACCTAGATGCCCCTCAATGGAAAAATGCATAAAGAAAGTGTGGAATATATACACATTAGAGTACTATTTAGCGGTAAAAAACAATGACATCTTGAATTTTGCATGCAAATGGATGGAAGTAGAAAACACTATCCTGAGTGAGATAACCCAGACCCCAAAATATAAATATGGCATGTACTCACTCATTAGTGGATTTTAGCCATAAACAAAGGACACTGAGCCTATAGTTTGCGATTCAAGAGTACCTAAGTAATAAGGGGAACCCAAAGAAAAACATATATAGATCGTCCTGGAAACTGGAAGCAGACAAGATCGCCAGGCAAAAGTTGGGAGCATGGGGGTGCGGGTGGTGTGGGGGGAAGGGGTAAGGGGGAGAGAGAGGAGTGAGGGTTGGGGAGAGCTTGGGAGAGTGGGATGGTTGAGATGGAGGAAGGACTGATATGGTAGCAGAGAATTAGATATCTTAATTAAGGGAGGCATTGTGGGGTTGGCAAGAGGATTGACTCTAGAGCGGTTCCCAGGAGTCCACAGGGATGTCTCCATCTAGGACCCTGGGCAGTGAAGGAGAGGGTTCCTGAACTGGCTTTGTCCTGTAGTCAGACTGATGACTATCTTGAATGTCACCATAGAACTTTCGTCTGGTGACAGATGGAGACTGAGACAGAGACTCACATGGGAGTACTAGACTGAGCTCCCAAGGTCCAGTTGAAGAGCAGAAGGAGGGAGAATATGTCCAAAGAAGTCAAAACCATGAGGGGTTGGTCCACCCACTGAGACAGTGTGCCTGAACTAATGTGAGCTCACGAAAGCCAGCTGGACTGGAACTGAATGAGCATGTGATCAAACTGGATCCTCTGAATGTAGTTGACAATTGGGGCAGACTGAGAAACCAATGATAATGGCACCGGGATTTGTCTCTACTGCATGTACTGGCTTTTTGGGATGCACAACTTCCTGGGGAGGGCCTTGGACTTCCCACAGGGCAGGGTGTCGAAGAGCAGGGGAGGGTGTGTGGGAGAGCGAGAAGTGGGAGGAGGGGAGCAAGTGGGAATTTTGATTGGTATTATTTATAAAGTAATAAAAAAGAAATTTAATAAAAAAAGAAATCATTTCTTCAACTCTTTACCAAATCATGTTTGTAGTAGGTCCAACATCATCCTCAGTATTTTCAGCCAAAAGCCTAATTCCTGTTTTATTGCCTATAGCACTTTTATATCATGTTAAATAAAATACCTGAAATCGCCACCGACTTCAAGTGAAATAACTTAGTCATTATTCCCATTAACTATTATTTATATAAGACCGTTTTCTCTCTTGAGAGTTCTAAGGGTAACTCTACTTTCCACATTCTAATTGAGAGTGACTTTGGGTCTTTAAGACTTACTTATTTTTGTGTACATGAGTTGGTATGTGTTTACATGAATATGTGAATGTATGTTGAGGATGGATTAGGGCAGTGGATCCCTCAGAGCTGGAGTTATTGGCATTTATAGGGTGTGATAACCTGGCTTTTGCTATGTGGATAACAGTATCTGAACTCTAAGCCTCATGATTGTTCAGTGCTATTAACAGCTGAGCCAGCTTTCCAGCACCTCCCCGTCTTCTGGATAGATATCTTTCTGTTTAGTCCAGTATGGCAGAACATTCACCTTCCTGCCTCACCCTACACTAAGATTACAGGATAAGCAGATACTACTGTGCTTTCTGCCCTTGAACGCTTTTTGGTTGCTCATTTCTGAATCTTATACACCTTCATTTCTGTTTGCTTTTTTCCATTACTACTTGAAAATTAATGAAAAGTTCTTACATATTTTTGAATCATGTGGATCTCAAAAGTGTGGCCATATTGGAATATTTGCGTGATTGTTAGAATACCTTGGTTTGACCATTTTTCTTCTGAGGTGAAGTACCTGATGTCTGTACTGGCAGCACCAGGAACTCATTCTCATCAAGATGACAAAGCTGACTGATTTAAGCCCCAATGAATACGGAAGCAATAGCTGAGAACTTTCTCAAGGCAGTGGTAGACTACATTTACACTTTTTCCTTGTCACAACCAAAGGGAAATTCACAGAAGACTGCCAATATCGTGGACAAGTGCAAATGGGATCTAACTTTGCACTTAGTTCACAGGAGTTATTACTGAGAAATGACCCAAGTGGTGCCTGGGTGCAGGACAGCTTTGACAACGTGTTCTTCAGTAGTTATAGCATTAAAATGTGTAGTTTCTACTAATTTTCAAAAATCTAATTTTTTAACTATAATCATTTAATATTAATTTTTAAAGTAAATCTTAACTCACAGTACCTTTAAATTCGCACAATCAATATATTTCTGCTTCTCATTTGTTAGTTGTATTATTTCAGCTTGATGAGCTTCAACAATAGCATCAACTTGTTTCTTAAAAGCATCATCCATGCTTTGAAGCTTTTCTAGTGCATCCCTTTAAAAAAAAAAAAACAGGAGAAAATACCCCTATGCATATGGATACACAGATTAAGTGGGCTTTTTCTTAGGTGCAGTGGGAAGTCATCTGCAGACTGCTATTAATAACACTCTGCATCTTGAAATCAGAACCAGCCATTAAATTGTAATACCCATTTTTCATGGAAACTTCTATTTTACAAATTATTTTTAAAATAGATTTATATATTAAAAGGTAAATCCTTATTTCCCATTGAGTAATTTTTTAGAACGAATCTAAAAAATTGCAGTTAGCTATATAGTTTTTTTGCTTTCTTTTAAAATTATTTCTCTTCCTCAGTTTATGCAGGCTAATTGCCATTTAAATCTACATTGCTCTTGGCAGTCAAGTAACTATCTGAATTCCATTTACACCAAGCAAGATTTTATTCAGATAGTAACAGTAATGTTAGTAATAAAATGTACATATAATGATTACTATGTTTCAGGCACTATGCTATATGGAGAAATATATATTTATCAAGTTATTGGGGAGGGAACTATTACTTTCTATTTTATAGATGGCATGAAAATAATTTTCTTAGCAAATTAATTATGTCCGCCATGACTTTGGCATCCTTTTCTTTCTTTATATGTGTTTTACCAAGACCTTGCAGTATGTATGTTTAAAGGGATCCCACATCCTTCATGATTTAATGCTTACTTTTGCAGCTCAAGGCTTTTGTCTCTCTCTGCTTTAAGTTTCTTTTCCTTGTTTTCAAATTTTTCTTTGACTTCTTTTACTTGTGTTTCAAGATGACAGAGTAGTTCTCCTTTATCATGCCATTTCTGATTTAACGTGCTAAAAAGACAGAAAATAACTTTAAAAGCGAAAACCATGAAATCATTAGTCTAAAACTTTCTCAGTGGCAAGTATTATACAATACCTGTAAGCTTTTCTGATTTCTTCAAGTTCTAATTCCTTTGTTTTCAACTGTTGTTTTAGTTTTTCCTTTCTCTCATTGTGTCTTTCTAATTTTTCAATCACATTATCTAGTTGTGAACATTTTTCATTAAGTTGCTCTTGAGTACATTTTTCTACGAAAGTGATCTTTTCTTGTAATAATTTGATTTGCTCATCTTTTTCTTGTAAGCACTTTAAAAAAATCAGTAATTTATTTTAGATGTTGCATATGGTAAAAATTAAGACCTAAAAGGATATTGAACACAATATTATATATAATATTAAATTTTCTTGTCATGGCTAATCTTTTACAGATGCCTCATATTCTGTTATTTCCAAGGCAGGAAATAATAAGCCAGGCATTGTGCCACACGCCTTTAATCCCAGCACTCAAGGCAGTGGCAGGCAGATCTCTGTGAGTTTCAGGCTAGTTTGTTTCCTTGCCACCCAGGAATACATAGATACATAGACTCGGTCTCAAAAAACAGTAAAAACAACAACAACAACAACAAAAAATTAAATTAAGATTCAAGTTAATAACTACCACATAGTACTTTTGAGTGCAAGGTGAAAAACTTAAAAAGAAAACATGATATTCTTTCTCTCTTTAAAATCTACAACAGTTAGCTGGTTGGTAGTGGTGTACACCTTTAGTCTCGGCACTCAGGACGCAGAGACAGGCGGATCTCTGTGAGCTTGAGGCCAGCCTGGGGTAAAGATAGCGTTCCAAAACAGGCTCCAAAGCTACAGGGAAACACTGTCTTGAAAAACAAAACAAAACAAAAAAACTCAAAAGCCCAAAACCAACCAACCAAAAAAAATCTACAATTGAAAATTAAAAATATAAATTATTATTTTTAGATCTGACACCAGCCTTTTTCCCCAAAAGAAAACATTAAGCTTACATCTTTTAATTTTCTGATGGTTTCAGTTTGGTCCTCGATGATTTTGCACTTTATTCTCAAGGCATCGCAGTCACTTTCGTGGCTTTTTCTCAGAGATTCATTCTCTCTGCATAAACTTTCAATTTGGGCTTCTAATTTCCCACGGCTCTGAGCTAGTGACGATCCTAAGAAACAAATGCCAGTTAGAAACAACACACCTTGGTAATTTTTGTAATTTATGAAAACCTAGCCTAATAAGGAGAAAAACAGAAAAATCGCATTTAAAATCCAAAGCATACAGTAATGCAAATCAGCAGGAAGGAAAGCTTTCTAAATATCTCAGCTGTTATAGACCCTGTTAGGTGAGACGGAGCAGACACACCACATTAGAAATTACTATAGAATAAACAAATAACACTTTGTTTCAAACAGTACCTAACAATTCAAAATTTCCAAGTTATTTGTAAATGTTGAGATACGGTTTTTAATTTTCCTTTGCTATGTAACAATCAGAAAAGGAACAAGACTAAGAATTTACCTACAATGTACAGTGGTTTTCATTCACACAAAATTTTACTTCTGTCCATGCAAAATACTGTAAATGTCACAAATATGAATACTCATTTTAGATGTTACTATTAATATAGAGCAGTAACAGCACAGTATCCTGCGAAAATATACAATTTTACTGTTTTTATATATTAATGAAAAATAAATTCAAATAGAAAACTAAAGGTATCAAAGCTACCATTTCCTCATCTGCTCTCGAGTCCTTTTCTTTCTCAGCTTCCAGAGCTGGGCACTTGTACTTCCATGCCTGGGCACTTTAACAACTTAACTGCTGAAGTGATTTCTTACTTCCTGAGAGGTGTGTGTTCCTCTCTGGCTGGTAAATGCGTATTTATTGCTTTCTCACAAGAGCTATTTTCCATCTAAAAACTTGGGACTTACCCTGATGTGCTAGTTCATGTCCCCATACTTTTCGTTCTGTCCTTAAACCATAGATCAGTGACTCCTTGGCTGCTAGCTCAGAAATAAGCTGCGTTTTTTCATGCTTAAGAATTTCTATTTGAATGCTCTTCTGCTTGTCATCTTCAATCAAAATTTCCAGAGTGTTGATTTGATTCTATATACCCCCAAAACACAAAATCACCAATTATTTCACTTAACTATAAACATTAAAATTATATACACAATAAATTTTTATTAAAGTACATTTCTTTTTTACATCTTTGAAAAAGAGCGCTTTAAGCAATTAAAAAGTAAATATTACCAAAATTTACACCAAGTTTTAAGACACATGCTATAAAGCAAATGTCATCATCTAAAAGGTTACTTTCTATAGCTTTTACTCTATAATTGTTAAAGAGAAAAACTGAACCTACAATTGTCAAAATTTCTCATGAAATATTTAAATTATCTATAACTTTACAAAAGTTGAGTTCTTAGGTGAAAGAATATAAATATTCATAGACATGAATTTAAAGGCTAATAATTAATACCAGTAACAAGTGGCACTTCTCAAACCTTAACACCTTTTGAGTATCACGTGCAACTGGTAACACCTTCATAAAAGTAAATTTACTTCAGTAATTTATTTACATATTTTATTTATTTTTTGAGACAGAGTATCATGTTTACTAAAAGGGTCTAGAACTCAACATGTAGACCAGGATGGACTCTAATTCAGAGATCCCTCTGACTGATTCTGTCTCCTAAGAGCTGGGCTGAAAGTGTGCATCACTATACCTGACACATTTAGATAGATATTTTGATGAAAGCAACATCATCTATGAAATCATTCATTTCACGAGGTATACTTTCATCAAGAATATCTCCAAATGAATCCTGAGTACCCCGAACTCCACTGCTCACACTTGAGGTGATGCGAAAGCTCCAAGGAAATGACACTCCAGACTCTTGCCTGTAAATTCGCTGCTGCTTCCTGTTTCAATTTGGAGACTTCTGAGAGTTTTGTCTTTTGTTCCTTCACCATACAGGTCAGATCTTTAATTAAAGATGATGATTCATTTTCTTTGCGTTGAGCCCAAATAAGAGCATGTTTGCTCTTGGCTAACTCAGTTGCAACATCTTCAAAGCCATCTTGAACCTATATTTCAAAATCATATTATAAACAACAGCTTCCCAAATAGAAAATATTGCTTCTAGAAACAGTTTACAATTTTCATTTAAAAACCTTGCATTTTAGCAAAACAAAAATCAGAGGTAGTTTGTTTCCATCTACTAATTCCCAGCAGATAAAACACAGACCCAAGGAGTTTGCTCCTCATTTGTTTAGTTACCCAAGAAACTAAGTAGTGAATGTAAGAACCGAGATTCATTTGTATGACACATATTCACTGAGCAATTGCTATAGGTCAGCCGCTGTTTGGCGCTGCAGTGTACTAATGGAGAAAACAGACTAAATTGCCTTGTAGTAGTTAGGGACTAGCAGTATACCAACAAGAAGAAACTATGCATCATGAAACTATATAGATGGCATAAGCTTAGAGGGATGTAAACTACTGTAAATGACATTGTTATTGAGAGGTTGCCAGCACACAACAAAGGATGCGAATGTACGTAGAGAAGGTGTTCTGGGCAGGAAGGTGCTTCCAGGAACAGTGTAATACATGGTGATAGGTGCAGCATAGGTAAAGGGGAAAATGGTAACAACATGAAGACAGCTACAACACAGAGTTCTGAATTGTTCTGAATAAAATGGAAGGGCAAATTAGTTGAGGAGTGGTATAACATCTAACTTACATGTTAATACAAAGTTGGTAAGACTATATTCTAAAAATAACACTACAAAAAGCTTGTAAGGTACTCATTATGGAGTATCAGAGAAAAAGGAGTCAATGTTGGCATTAGTTTTTGGCATAAGCACTTAGAAGACAGGGAATAGCATTAACAGAGATGGAAAGACTGTAAGATTCTAAAATGTGGCTCTCTTATCAATAGAGCTACACATCAATCCTTACATCTTTAAATCTTCTGGCTTCAACAGTTAAAGCAATACGGAATTCGTTTTCTAAATCCAAATACTGCTGGTTTAATATATCAATTTTTTCTTGGTATTCTTTTACTTCTTGCTCATGTTTTCTTTCTTCTTTGGACATTTCTTTAGCTAATGCATCCTGAAACTCTGCATCACTGAAAAACTCTCTAGTTTCAATTTCTTTCCTGGAATGGAAACCAAAGCAATGCAGTTCATGAAAATAAAAATTCAAAGGTCTTTAAATAGCCTTTAACATTTTGCATCACCTAAGGTTAATGGAAGATTAGTTCTTTGCTTTAAAACACAAAAATGTACAGACAGAGAAAGTTCATAGACTACTGTTTTAAAGAATACTGAGTAGTCTTACAATAGTTATTTGGAAGTTAACAGCTACCTCTACAGGATGGGCAATTTTTGTTAAGCTTGAAGAAATGTAGAAATAAGGTGCATTATTTATAAGAATCTTCTTTTCATGCTGACACCAAAGCCACACATTTGTTTTTCAGCTGCTATTTCTATAAGACTGAATTTAATAGAGGCGCAAATATGTTTTTTCATAATTTTTTTCTGATTTTAATCTTTTTTTAAACTACATTGATTGGCTGATAGATTACGTGTTATGTCATACATAGATGTCAGAGGACAACCTGCAGGAGTTGGTATTCCTTGTGTCACAAGGGTCCCAGGAACCATAATTTTCAGGCTTTGGTGTTAAGCCATGTTGCCAGCCCTCCATGAGTTAATTCTGTCAGACGTCACTAAATAGTCAATTGTTGGGTAGGAAGGAGGGTGGACAGAACCAGAAACTTTCTTTTATACTTATGAATATCAATATTGTGTTGACACGTTTCATTCACCTGTGTTCCTCTTCTTTCAATGCCAGTAGTTCATGAAGTTGTTGCACTTGCTCCTTTTCTTGGTGAAGAGAAGTTCGAAGTAAGTTTATTTCTCGATCAGCAGCGGAGGCTTTGAGCTCCACCTCTTGGATAAGTCTCATCTGAATGAGGTACAAATGATTACAACAGTCCCACAATCATCCCCCTGCCTCTAGATCTAAAGTCACTTGTCTCATTTGTGTGTCGTACACATGGTGACAGCACTTACAGTCACTGCTCTGCTTCTACTTTCTATGTGGTCAGTTTGTTTAAAGGTCAAGGGCAGTTTCATTAGTTTGAAAGAAAAGCCACAGGGCAGGCAAGCTGTAGACCCTGGCAGCTACCTGGAGCGGGGAGATAGCGAAGGGGAAAAGTCATGCCTTTTGAGTTAGGTACAGAGTCAAACAAGCAGACTGCCAGACACACAGTGAGTGGGTGAGTGAGAGTGCTCTGGGGCGTTCTGACGCTCAGAAGATCAGAGTCTGAGAGAAAAGGGAAAGTCCTTATACAGAGAAGCTGGCAGACCTAAGAGCTTCGAGAGCGAGCAAGGAGCTTCACGGCCACCCCTGCAACTACCGGCTTGTATTTTATGGCAGCTTCTCTAAATGTTGATTAAATGGCATAACTTGATAACTGAGCTCTTTTCAAACTTTACTGAATTAAGAATGATATTGTCAGACAAAGTTGAAGCATCAAATATACTGACACCAATTATTATTGATTTGCATCACATGTTTTGACAGATTCCATGGCAAAAGCATGAAAGTGAAAACTCTTTCAAGTACCTTATAGATTTGAAAGCTATCTCTCAAAAATATGAGCCTACCTACCTGCAATATTTCTGACAATTCTTACAAATGCTTTATGTATTGGTAGAATAAAGAGATAATCCGCAGGCTATATGAATGCTATATTAAAAACAACAGTGACTTAATTTCTGCATAGAGCCTAGTATCTTTTGAGTTTACTATACTATTCAATTAGGTTCGGGGAGGAAGCCATGAACCCACATCATAGATTCATTCAGATACCTGTGCCTGCTGCTGCTGTGCTTTCTGCTTCTCCATTTTTTCCAATGCCTTTTCCAGGGTTCTCAAGTGTTTGATGTGATCTTCCTGTTGATATTGTGCTTTCATTAGTTCAATAGTTAGCTTTTTAACTTCATTTTGAAGTCTGTGAACTATAATTTCAAGTTGAGCCTTGGAATGTCTCTCCTTAAAAATAACATCCTTTAGCCTAAAGCATAAATTATATATGCAATCGTAAGAATGTTATATGTACAAAAATAATGAAAATTGTAAAAAAATGTTAAGGCTTAAAATAGTGATCAGTATCTGAAATAATATATGCATTTGTCCTGACTCTGAAACTAATGTTTTGCTGTAACAGAAAAACATTGGTCATAAATTAAAGAAACTTGGATAAACTATTATTATTATTATCACAGCAATACTTTACCCCTAATGTGTTTCAATTCTGGGCTAGATGTGAAGTTTTTAAAAGCATTCAGTATAAATAAGGTATAGTCACCGCCCTCAAGGGAGATCAGTATCAGAGGAGATAAATAATTTAAGATTCAGAATCAAGAAGATATTAATACCATTTGGCTTTTAGAAAAAGGTGGTAGAACAATTATTTCTAGTTTTGGTAGCTGACAGAATATTAATGGCACACCATTTACTAAGTAAAGAATACAGAGTAAGAAGCAAGATGCTCCTTTCTCAGGATGGGCCGACCTGAAAACACACAAAACATAGGAAAGGCACTTCTGCTAACTCATTAGACCAACAAGTCTATTGTCCAAGGAGGTTGGAAGAATAAAGATACTATAATAATGAGATTCACGTTGTTGACATAACATTACTCATAGTATGACCCCTAGTCTTCAGACTAGGTGATGGATACGAGGTACACACAAGAACATCAAGAGCTGTGAGGCATTAATCTCAAGATACCAAACAAACATGGGTGTAGATAAAAGCGGAGTCAGAACAACTGAGACTGTCTTCTCTAGAGAGCAAAGAACATGGACCATTGACATCAGGTACAAACGAGAGATTGGATAGAGCTAGAAAGGAAGTGTGTTCCAAACATCCCAAATTCAATGAAATCTGGTGAGCAGTTGAGATTAGCTTCTTAAGTGTATTTAATTAATACCTATATTATGAAATAAAACAAAAAATATTCACATATAGCCCCAAACAAGAGACAAAGTATGCCCCACCAGGCCTGGAGGTCCACACCTGTATTCCACGTGCCTGGGAGGCAGAGACAGGTAAAGAAAGCTCTTTTGAGTTCAAGGTCAGACTACTCTACTTAGTGATCTCCAGTCCAGCCAGAGCTATGTAGTGACATGCTGCCTCAAAAACTCAATACAACACAACCAAGCCAAGCCAAACCAAACAAAAAAATTGTCAACACTAAAAGGAATTTCAACTATAATGCAAAGGAAATAAAATGCAATAAAACAACCCCTAAAACAGCTTGGTTTTATTTTGAAGAGGAATCCTGTCCTCTATAGTATCCCTGTGACTCATTCTGGATCTCTATAAACCTGTCATGTAACAGGGCTCTTTTCTTGAAGATATCTGAGCCTTATTCCCTTTCCTATGCCATTCACTCATTTCCTGACTGGGATTTTTATCGGAGGCCACAAGTATTACGCAGTAAATGTACAGCTGACAGGTTCATAAAGGTAGACCCGCAAGAGTACAACTTATGGGGCATCTGTTTTGCAGAGCCTGGTGGGCACTTGTCTTTTGGATAAGCTGCTGCCAATTCTCTAAAATCTTGTGAAATCATGGTGGTTCTCCTTTCAAAAACAGTATTCACCCAAAAATATTTCAGCACCATACAGGCAACAGAATGACCTTTCCATTCCCCACACCATGAGGTTTTAGAAAGACAACATTCATTCTTTGTTCTAACAGTCAAATTTACACAGTGTCAATTCCACAAAACTGCTTGCTAACAGATCACATAGAAATTTCTATAGAAGACAGGCACTGTTCAGGAAGGTAGTATGCCCCAGCCTTACCAGACAGACAGGTCTGGGTGTGGGTGAGGTCCAGGTTCAGGGATGTTTAGTAACTTTGTCTAATGCTTTGGAATGTCAGGTCTTTCCCCTTGGATGCTGGTTCTTTCCTACGCGGTGTCACCTGGGGAGTATTACTGACTTATCAGGATCTACCTGCCCTTTTTGTGATTTTGATATACATATTATCATTGCCCTTGCCTATAGAATTTCCCAACTACAGAAACCTCCTGAAGACCACCCTTTCTTCTTTTTCTTCTTGTTGCTTCTTCATGCAAAGGAATACAGAACATGTAGCAGTAATGTACTTGAGTTAATTTTATTTTTTTTTAACCCTCAGATTTTTTGCTTGCCTTAAACATCCATTCTGAGCCATGAGGGGTGCTGAGGCTGGAACTCTAGGCCCCTGGTAGGTTCTCTTCCATATATTCAGTACAGTGATCCCGCAAACACAAGTAAGGCAGGAAACTGACAGAAGTACTCACGTAAGTGTCAAAATGTGCAGCTACAAAGTTTCTCACTGTAGATGTGTAAGGTGGTTTCTTTTTTCCTATCACACAGGTACAACACACAAAACAAGCAGGTAGGACAGGAGTTTGTTTTTTAAGTATCAGTATTATAAAACCAAATGTCTAAAATTAATTAGGGATCAGGTTGGAAACAGTGTACCTCGATTTAATATTCAGAAGAGATTTTTTGTTGTTGTTCTTTTTTGCTTGTTTGTTTTTTGAGACAGGGCTTCTCTGTGGCTTTGGAGCCTGTCATGGAACTAGCTTTTGTAGACCAGGCTGGCCTCGAACTCAAAGAAATCCACCTGCCTCTGCCTCCCGAGTGCTGGGATTAAAGGCGTGTGCCACTGCTGCCCAGCTTTCAGAAGAGATTTTATAGGAGGAATTATCCATTCTACAGACACAACACTAGTAGCAACTTCCCAATCCACTTATGACCAATAGCAAGTCTGGAGGCCTAGTGTTTTTGTAGAGATAAGAAAAACAAACACAACAAAAATAAAAACCAACCAACCAACCAAATAAACAAAAACCCGAAAGGAACTCTAGAAAAGAAACTTAATAACTATTTCAGAAAAGGGATCATGTCAGAATTAACTATAGAAATCAATGTATTTTCACATAATGAAATAAGATAGAGTAACATTAAATAAAGTACTGGGGTAAAAATAAAAACCCCCAGACAAACAGGAGACAGACTAGACAAGAAAAAATAAGAAAAGAATTAGGAAACTTGGGCTATGTGGTACTACCAAAGCTAGCAGAAAGTTAGTATATAAAAAGAGACTAGGATTCATAAACCTCAAAGAGAAATTTGCCAGCAAGTCACCCGACCCCACAGTCTCATCTCATTGTTTATGTCTAATACTCACCTGTCTGACACTTCCCAGTACAAGTGGTCAACTACATGTGCCCAAAATTCCCCATTTATGTAACAAGAATGCACTAAATCTTAAACTCAAGTGAAAGTCAAATGTATTCATTCCCCCTAATTTTTCCCGGTTCCAAGTCTAGTAATCTTCAGGCTCTGAGGGATATCCTTAAGGGCATATTTTGTCTTACCTGTCTGTGGTAATGAGAGCCAGGCTGTGAACATCTTTTTTCTCACTTGCTTGCTTAAGCAGCTCATCAATATAATCCATAAGTTTTTTTTCAGCTTGCTCAGCTTTCCACCTCATCTCTCTCTCTTGGTCTAACTGTTCCAAGAGGGACTAAAAAAAAACAGCAACGCTTCATGAATTTGAAAAGTTACTTAACTTCTCACTGCCTCAGTCTTTTCATTTATTTTATAATAAGAGTACCTGCTGTAAAAAGCTACGGTGAGAGTTAATGAACTCAAAGCACACAGAATAGCACAGGGTACACAATCGTAACAATGAATAGTTAGTTGCTAGGGTCATGACAGTTATAGAAGGCAATCCAACTATTAGAACATTTTTTTTTTACAGAGCATAGTAGAATAACCAGTACTCCAACATATAAAATGAGAGCAAGTTATCTAATACAATCAGCAAGTCTTGAATTTTTAAAATATTTTAAGCATCTCTGAATGCTTTTCCAAAACTGGGTTTTAGGACAACCAACAGGAAAGTTACACAGAATACTTCTTTGAGAAAACATGGAGATTTATCTTTATATTTGAAACGCTACAGTATCGCCCTTAAACTAGAAACTATTTCTTTGGGAAAAAGGAGCTGGAAAATTCCTAATAGATACTCCTTCAAAAGAATGGAGCATCATTTCAACTAATCTCATCTTTAGCAAATGTAAAAGCAGTAATATTACACAAAGTCTGGAAATCAGGAAGCATAAAAGAAGTCAATTCCCATCAGTGATAAAACCACAAACATGGCTAACTTTCTAGGATTTTATATTTAAGTTTTTCTTAACTTTCTAAACCATACCCGGTAAGTGTTGTCGTCCGAGACACTTTTGTCTACTTTATTTATGTCAGTCTTCTGCTCGTCTAAGTCTCTTAAAACATTGCAGTTAACTAAAGACGATCTTACATATAAATCTTTAAAGTAAGGCTGTCTCATTTTGCGATTACAACTGCAAAGAATAAAACGCAGAGAAAAATCCAAAGTACAGTTTTCCAATACAAACACCTCTAGTTACATATGTAAGTAATATTTTTATAAAACATGTCAAGTAAGGGGCTGAAGAGATGGGTCAGTGGTTAAGAGCATTAGATCCCCTTCCAGAGGATCTGGGTTCAATTTCCAGTACCCACATGGCACAACGGTACAACAATTTGTGACCCCAGTTCCAGGGGATCTGATGCCCTCTTCTGCTCATTAGTGGGCACCAGGACACGCTACAGACATACATGCAGGTAAAACACTCACACCTATACAATAAATAATTTTTTAAAGAAAAAATGTATTAAGTAAGGTAATAGTTACTTGGACAAGCTAATTCATAAATTTCACAATGGATGTGCTTTGTTGACTCACTATTTATAGTCAAGAATTTTAAAAAAGATTATGATTTTATATGTGTAGTCTTTCAACATATTCAAGATGAAATAGACTATGATTATCTAATATTAAATTTGAAAAGATGATTTAAATACCTTATGGTACTTAAAAGTTTAAACTTGACACAGTATAGCATAATAAACAGATTCTATCAGTAGTATTAAGAAGTATATTCTTACTATTAAGAGGACTGAGTGAGTTTTATACATGATACTATAATTGGATCACTATAAAGAATTTAAATAACAAACATATAAGAAAAGAATTATGCAGGCAAAAAGTGTAGTCTTTTTAAAATAACTGTCATGGTTGATATCCCTGCAATGGAAATACAGACATCAAATTTCTAAATCCTCATGTCAAAAACATAATCATTACATTTGCCTCTGACCCTTGCTTAGTTGGTACTGGTTAGATAGGCCTTCCGGCTAGATGAGCCTACATATAGAGTAGAAACTTGTCAGGAGAACTCAAGTGTATTAGCCTTTCTTCTCACTGTAAGTAATATAGTAGCATTTTGGTATTTGTATTAATTTCTCAATTTGATAAGTACAAAGAGAAAGCAATCTTTTATATGAATACACCATTCTTAAAGTTTCTGCAGGGATTGGTTCCAAAACCACCCTCAAATAACAAAATATCTTAATGCTCAAGTCCATTATATAAAATGGCATTGGCATAGCATTTTTATATATAACATGCATATGTGAGTATATATCAAGTTGTATAACTAATTTTTATATCCAATACAATATCTGCCATAATACCTAATATAATCTATTTATTATACTACATTATTTAGAAAATAATTATAACACAAAACAGTTTGTGAATGTTCAATCAGAAGCAATTAATTTTAAATCTAGTAAATAGTTCATGTCAGTAAACATGTAATTCTTTGGATTGATTTTATTTGTTCAGTAGTGGGTTAAATCCATGGATGCAGACACTGTAGTACTGGGGGCAAGGGTTAGGTTTATGCCCTAAAATTTGATGATAAAACTGACAGGCTTATCATCGTGAGACAGTAAGACGTCAGTCAGCTACTCCAGCCTTCGTCACCTCATTTGCTCTTTAAGACCAAGCATGTACCTTACGAATGCACCGTTGTTTTTATTGTGATGCTTAATAGTTTGAATAGTTCTGGCATAGTATGGGATTTTTGCTCTTCTAGGAATTCTTCGACTGTACTCTTTTCTGTTCCCATAGTCACTTTCAGAAGTCATGTCTGTGTCTCTTTTTGGTCCGAGGTCTTTCTCGGGAACATTATCTATTAAAGAATTAGAAGTCTAAGAACATAAAAAAAGAAACAAAGATATAAAGCCTGTTAAAAGTTCTGCTCAGTATAATTAAAATTTAGAGCCTTCTTAAATATTAAGACATTTTATAAGACTAAAGATTTATAAATTGTATCTTTGAATCTGAAGGCAAGAAATTCAGTTCTGGCCCAGAAAGAAAAAAAGAGCTTTCAGCAGCTCAAATCTGTTACAGACAATTATAAACTCTGGGAAAATGAAAAAGAAACAAAACAAAAATAGAAGTTAAAACTAAAGACATCAAAGTGATAAAAAGGTAAGACTAGTCTACATGGCAGCTGATACTTGCAAAATGGACCAGAAAAGACAATGTTTCAATTTGAGACTATCAGTTTTCTACGGAGAAACTATAATAGCCAAATATAAAAAGTAAAGACTTTTGAGTTAAAAACTAGAGGAAATAAAAGGCAATTTCTAAAAACAAATGAAATATGAACTGATACTTGATACGTTTTTTTTAGACAAAATTAGAGTTTAAGTTAAATCAAATTAATGCTAAATACAAGAATGCCAACATTTTTTAGAAGACTCCAACAGAATCTAAGACACATAACATTCAGTGTCCAGGATATATTCCAAAAGAGCTAAAAGGAAGATTTACAATGAAAAAGGCACTTGAGAGCAAGGTACGATGGTATATGCTTGTAATCCCAGAGCTCCAGAAGCAGAGGTAAGACATCGAGGTCAGTCTGGGTTACAGAGTTAGGACCTCAAATAAAGTAAACCAAGGAAGGGAAACTAGAACTCTGATCAACCGCTATTAGGGACACAGAATGTTCCAGCATCTCCTACCCAAAAGGTAAGATAGGGATAAGCAACATGTAGGTACACACCAAAGAGAAATCAAAACTTGACTATAAAGCTCATAATCATATATCATAGCCAAACATCTATTAACTGATGCTACAGCAATACAAGTACTGATACTCATGAAGGAAGGCAACAAAGAAAATGAGTGAAAAAAAAACATATTCCACAGTTTTCTACCACTGTCACTATATGTAATCCTGTATCTGTAAAGAAAACAAAAATAGAGATATAGTCAATATGATGTTTTTGGTTGGTCAACTTAGGTATAATTTCTACTTCATACTTTCTTAACTACCTTTTCTTTAATAAACATATTAGCCGTCAGAAAAATAAAAATAAAATTACTTCATTGAGAAGCTGTAAGATTTGATCATCTAATTTCTGAAGTTTCATTTCATTCTGAAAATCGTTTTCATGATTAATTTTTTCTGGTTCAGAAGATGGACACACAGATAAGAGCGAGGTCAAAACATTATCTTCTGGTGTGCTGGTGAACTGCTCCAAAGGAGGTAATACGTCCATGGGTGGTGCTGCCATTGGCACCACCATACTGTCAACGACCTATGGCACAGAAACAAACCCGACCCTTGAAATTCATATTCTGATCCATTAACACTTGAAGGTATCTTTTTATTTTTTTTAAGAAAAACCACCAATACTCTACCTCATCCTCACTTATATTCAGGGGGGAATCAGATGAAACTAAGTTATCCAAAAGTCCTTCGAAGCACTGTAGGCGTGATGAGTTTATTTCTTCCAAGTTTACTGGCTCACCAAATATGTTCTTGCAATCTAAGATCCTCAGCTGTGGCAAAGTCTGGAGAATGATTGCTCGGTACCCTTGGAAACAGAGTTCAAAACCAAAGCATAAATACTTTAAGAGATTATTTCTAGAACAAACCAAGCTAGTAGGTATACAATGCCTGAACAATAAAGTCAGTCTGATGAAGGAATAAACATTATGTACTCAGCATCTTCAACACGCAATCAGTAAATACAAAAGAGGCAAAGCATCCCCCCCATCCCATACCAAACACTATTCCTGGTATAGTCAAATCACTGAAACCATCTGGTCTGAAAAATTACCTTAAGATTATAAATGTATGAAATCAACAGCATTTTACTCTGAGAAGGAAGATAAGCAGTTCTTTTGTTTATATTAATATGACCATCATAAGAAAAAAATGGTAATTGGAGTGGTGGAATTCTCCATAGTGAGATATTAGTGAAATATCCCACCTTTTCTTCTTAATGACACGTAATATTAGGATATGCAAAAGCAACTATTTAAGACAAAAATATTCACGTTTCTTAAGAATTAAACAAGAAAACTGCCAAATTAACATTACAATGGTATGCAACCCAACAGAAACATTAAATTTTACTCAAGTAATTCCTTCACTTTCTTTTTTTATTAATATTAAAAGTGTAAAGGCATTTGGGCTGCATGAATGTCTGTTCATGTGTGTGCCTGGTTCCTACTTTAAAGGAAGTCAGAAATGGAGTTACAGACAGTTGTGAGTCATCATGTAGGTACTGGAATTGAACTCAGATCCTCTCAAAAAGTAGCCAGTGCTCTTAATCACTGAGCCAGCCATCTACCTAATTCCTCAACCAATTTCTTTCTCTTTCTCTCCCTCCTTTTTATTTTTAAACATGTGTAGGTCAAGGAACAGCTTGTGAGAGTCATTTCTCTTCTTATACCATGTAGGTTTTAGGAACTTAACTCCAGGTCATCAGGATGGTGACAGGCTACATCATCTCACTAATCCCTCAAGTAATTTCAATACTAAATATTTCTCAGAAGGTTCAATTAATTGGTTGGAAAGACCTCAAAAGAGAGATAGAGATCTAGCAAATCAGTGATTGAACTTTTTTTAAAGATTTATTTTATGCATTTGAGTATTGGTTTTATGTATGCATGTACCACATGCATTCCTGGTGACCACAGAGGTGAAGAAACTGTATTGAAATGAAATTCAAGTTATGAACGGTTGGTGGGCCACCATGCGGGTGCTGTGAAATGAACATATAAGTTTAAGTTTTCAAAAGCCACAATTAATAATGTAATCAATTCATATAGTGCTTAACTGCAATCCCAGCACTTAGAGAGTGGAGGGAGGGTTCATGGTTACCCTCCACTACATATCAAATTTGAAGCCAACCTGAACTAAAAAAGATACTGTCTCAGGAGGGGAGAGGAAGGAAGGAAGGAAAGATGGAAGGAAGGAAGGAAAGAAGAAAGGAAGGAAGGAAGAAAGGAAGGAAGGAAGGAAGGAAGGAAGGAAGGAAGGAAGCCAGTTTATTCTCTATACTTTTAACAAAGAAGCAATTTAGGGTTATTTTCCAATAAATTCTTTATATTTTTCTAAACATACTAAAACAAACAAACAAAAAGCAAAAACCTAAAACTGCAAAGCTTAAGACTGAAATGAAAGTGGGTCATGAACACCAAATTCAGGAAATAGACGCTTTTACATTTAAGTGTTAGAAAAGCATCGTAGTAAATTAACTACTACCTACCTGGTACAAGACAGATCGGATTACCTTCTCCATCTTTCTCTAAAATAAGATTGGTTAGGAAGTGCAGGCCCACTGTGCACTGAAGTAAGTGATGGATACTATCTATACAGTTACTATGTAGGTCAATATATCTAAGTTTATACTTCAGTCCATGAAGAGGCATCAACCCTGCAACAGTGGGAGAAAAAAAAAAAGTTTTTAAAGACACCAGCATATGAGAATTAGTGAAATTTTGTTAGTTCTAACTGGTAATCCTAAGAATTTTGAAATTTTATTAGTTATATCCCTTTAATAAAAAGCAGATAACAATTTCAAAACCTTCTTAGACATGCTGACCACGACTTTAATTTTTAAGATACAAGTCCCTGCAATCCTTCATGTCTATATTGTGCAATGTAGTAGTAGTCATTAGTTGCTTTTATTTAAATTAAAATTTGATTAAATATTCAGTCCCTTGCCCCACCAGTCATATTTCATGTCAATATTCACACCTGGCTACTGGCAGCCACACAAGAAGGCACCAGATATAGAAAGTTTCCAGCACTGTCGGAGGTTTTACTGTAACTACCTCTTTCTATGTGACTACAGTGGTTAACTACTTAAGATTAAGCACATCCTCCTAAAGTAGGTTTTCCTCACTTTAGCTTTTTCTGCTACTGATCATCCTCTTCTTTATCTCTACTTTTGACATGGGTATGGTTTTGGAAGCAACAATGTTTTTGATAGTAGTACATCATTTGGATAAAACCCTTGGTCAAAACATCACTATTATTTGGAGTTTCTCAACACTGAGCTAAGTCCTAACACACTGTAAAGCTTAAACCTTATAGAAATATAAGCACATCTACTTACCACTAAGATCATTTATATTATTGTAAGACAAATTCAGTCTAGTCAGATTAACCAGTGCTTCAAGTCCTAAAAATGAGGGGGAGGATAACACAGCTTTTATAAGGTTTAAATAAAGAGACATAGCACCATTTCAGATTGATAGCAGTGAAATCAACTGCTGTTTTATGGGAAAATAAAAAATTCATAGTAGGTTTTATGGTCAATTTTCAAAAGTTTATGATTCTATTAATTCCTTTCATTGTAAGAAAACAAATACACATAATTTTCTTTATTTTCATTTACACAAAATACCACATATAATAGTTTACAAACCTTCTACTCTTGTGATCAAATTGCAGGATAAGTTTAAAGTGCATAGCTTTGTCAGTGTGTTTAGTCCTTCAATTTGACTTATTTGATTAGATGACAGATCTAAATGTCGTAGGTTCCAAATGTGATCAATGGATGTGATCTTGGAGATGTGATTACAATGCAGATTGATGGCGTGAAGGGATGAATCTAAAGATAACTCTGATATACTATAAAAGAAAATGTTATAAAACATATTTTAAAAGCATGACCAAATAGTTAAAATTAATCAAGTAGCATGATTATAATGAATACATTGTCTACTCACTTTAGAAAAAAGTCCTTCCTATTTTTTCCTTGCAATATTTTATTACTTACCACGCATACTAGCATTTTGGTCCATTTATACAAATACAGAAAGATGAGGAACTCTGGGTACTTTCAGCTTGCATATGCAAAGCCACTGTCGTATAGAGTAAAGGGAGATTTCAACAGTCAGTAAGTAGAAAGGCTCCTAAACGCTAGCATGTATCTCTGATTTTCTTCTTTTGTGTGTGTGTGTGTGTGTGTGTATATATATATATATTAAGAACTTCATTCAAGTTTTTATACATATGTATTTTAATCATATTTACTTTCTCTCACCTCTTCCCAATCCATTCCCTCTTCCTTTCCTACTCATCTTTGTCCATTTTGGTTTGTTTCCACAACCAAGGCCAAACTGAGCTGCCCAAATATCCTTGGATGTGTAGTCTTCTACTAGAGTATGGACAGAGACTACTCAGACCATAATCACACAGAAACTTTATCAATTACAGCACTGCTTTGCCAATTACTCAGGCATATTCTTAGCTAACTATCTTAAATTAATCCATTTCTATTAACCTGTGTATCGCCACATGCTGTGGCTTACCAGAGAGGTTCCAGTGGTTGTGGCATCTTTCTCATTGGCAGCTACATGGTATCTCCTTGACTCTGCTTACTTTCTCCATCTCTGTTCTGATTTCCCATCTGGCCATACTCTGCTAAGTCTTTAGCCAAAACAGCTTTATTCATTAACCAATAAAAGCAACACATATACAGAAAGACATCCCACAGCATCTGTAGACTTATTAGGGGTGGTGGCATTCTTAGAGAAAATTGACCCTTCCTCTTCTCATAGTTAAGAATGAGCAACTGCAGCCTTTAAAGCTGTTCCCTTTTCTCATTTAATTTTCACAACTCTTAAGCAGTTGGTGCATGTTTATGGCAATTAATCAGACCAACAGACATAAATCGACCTGACATAAATCAAGATTATATGCATGAGCTTCTAACTTTAATTACTTTAAGGTCTGTGATAACTAGTTAGTCTAGAATTTAGTTGATATCTAAGAAAATCACCAATTATTGCTCTTCCTGGTGGGAAGGCTCTTGTCTGTTCTAACTGCAAGTTACAACACATTTCCTCTAAACAGAAACCGTCTCTCTACCCCCTCAATTACCACTTATAAGTGGAACTTGCATAGCAGAACACAGCAATAGTTCCATTGAACTACAGTGCACAGAGCAGATGTGCTGGATGGATGCGGCAGGAACAGCACAGCAACAGTGACAGTCGTGCTGGCGACCATGAAGCTGCAGGGAACCTACGAACTAACTGGCAGCAAGCAAACACTTTCAAACCTCAAACCACCAATTTCTAAAGATGCCTGTTTGACATATTTGCCAGTTATCAAGCTTCTATCATTTACAGAATTATTCAGGGCCAGATCTTGTGCAATTACCATATGCTCTTAATAGTCATCTGTTTTCTGACACATCAGAAATGAATATTGCTGAATTTAATTGCTCACTGGCCACAGTGTCAGAAATTATATAATGTATCTAAAATAAAATAGAAAATCCCATATCCATTGCTTATTAGAAAAGCGACCTTGCAGAATTGCTGTGGGCATTAGTAATGATGCATATAACATTCACACAGACAGCATCCTGGAAATGATAACCAATGTTAAATATAAATATAAGCAATCCTTTGAAAATCCTCTTCCCTGACAAACTGCAGATTTAGCCAAGACTAAGCTGTTGTATTTCATTATAAGTGCCAAGGTTCATGGACAGAGTAGGGCACCCCAACAAAGACAGGGAGACTCCTGCAGTGGAAATACCTATAATAGGATATCCAAAAAGAGACTCAGTGAGGACCCAGCATTGATGGTGTAGTAAAAACCAAAGGCCTCGAAACAGTCCAATGGCTCTTTGCAAGGAACACTTGTAAGCAAGACATATGGACAAAGAGATTCACTGGGTGACGATGTAACACAACTTCCATGACGAGATTTTTAGTTTTTTCCTTTTTTTTTCTCTTTAGTTTTCTTTTATTTTGGGGGGCTGCAGGGACACGATGAAGGAATGGAGAAATGAATACGATCAAAATGTATGACGTGAAAGGCCCATTGAATAAACAAAAAGAAATTAAGAAAAAAATAAAAAGGAAAAGTCTAGGATCTTTACAAAAGCACTGAATGGTCTGGATACCATGAAACAGGTTCAGCTAGAAGAATTGTGTGGTACGTCCAACAAATATATGGATGTGTGTCTAATGGTGCCTCGTGCATAAGAAATTGAAAACCGGTCAGAACTGAAGCCGGGCACAGAGCTGGCTTGCTGAGTGGCTGGCCCAGGATGCGAGACCAGTTGCCACTTTTCAGGCCCAGGGAAGGGTAACAGGAAGAGCAACAGGTAGCTGGTATGAAAAGGGAGAGGAGAAGATAGGACTGAGGGGCCTGGAGCTCAGTAGGGGTTCAAGGAGGAACCCCAGTTTCCATGGGAGGAGAGAGGAAGAAAACCCAGGCTCTGCGAAGAGGATACAAAAGAACCCCAGGGAATGCAGAGAGGGCAGGGAGGACCCCAGGCTGTGCTGGGAGGACAGGGAGGACCCCGGGCTGTGCTGGGAGGAC